CGTTATGGTGTCGTATTCCTATTGGGATTGGGGAACTCGATCCTATCTGATTGGGGAGCTCGATCCCTTGAAGATAGGGATTGACTTCCTTAGATTTAATATTGTATGGACATTGTTCCCCATCATAAGGAACTTCTGGGCAGCTTCGATACATCGATCCTGCCCCCAATCTTGGAACCGTTCCCGATACTGTTCCCAACAACTATGGTTTGCCCTGTTTAAACCTCCTTATGATGTGCATAGTGACCAGTGTTCACAAAATTGAAACGGAAAGGTTAACCGGACATGGGGCTTGAAGGGGTTTAACCAACCTAACCGATAAACCAGCTGATTCAACCGTTCTAACCGAGTAAGTCCCGGGTGGTCAAAAAATTGTTGAAAAACATAAAAATGATACAAAAAAATCTACTAAAATATGAAAAGTATATAAAGAATAATTAAAACAAAAAACCTTCAAATGAAGTTGAAAATTAATGAAAAAAATTGCCATAATGTGAATAATATTAAAAAATGTATTACAAACCAAATTCCTTATTTTTAGGATTTTATAAACATTTTTAATTTTTTTTTGTTAAATACAGGCCGATCACCAAAACCGCCCGAAACTGGGACCGGCAAGGGGCCGGTTCTGATCTAACCGGGTGGTTACCGGTTAGATCACCCGGTTTTTCTAAAATTGATAGTGACTCTTTTTTTATCTTGTGGATTGAGGTTGAAATGGCGTAGAAAAGTAACTATAGATGTTTCTTTTCTTGATCCATCAGCTTGGTCTCGAGGATCTCTCTTTGGTTCGTCAACGCGAGATTCTAAAGAGGGCCAAAACATCTTATGCTTTTTTTTTATGCTGTATTTTGTTTGAGAGGCCAGAGCTAAAATCTTAGTCTACTTTGGCTGAAGCATGGTCAATATATTGTAAACGAAGTGCATGCAAACTGGACACTTACATTATCCTGAATATATATATATATATATATATATATATATATATATACTAGTGTACGAGTAGTAGTACACTACTGACTATTAAGTAATTATTTAATTTAATTAATTAATTAAGACAACTATAATACTATGCTATGCTACTAT